GACACAAAGGCGTGGGTGGCAGTCAGGTGAGGGTGGGGGCTCAATGGAAAGGGGCAAGGGCACCGAAAAATGGCCAGAAGTGGTCAGCGGTCAGGTTTGGGATGTTAAAAAGGAGAAAAATGGTAACCTGGCCCAGAGAAGGCCCCAAGTTTTGGTTCAACAGGTTAACCTGGCCAAGCCGAGCTGAGTTTTAGAATAGTGGTAGTAACAACATGTTAAATATATATTAACAATATTGATCAATGATATTATTATTAAAAACACTCATATTGAATCTGTTGGTCGTATTTCGTAATAACTAATATCATATCATTTTTTTTTTTCAAGTAACTGAGGTATCCAAACCCAAATTGAGCCTGCCTAATCCTCAGGGTCACGGAACACCCTACAAGCCCAATGGACCAAGGTAATTACACAAATGTGATAGGTACCTCTCTTGCGACTCGAATACAAGACCCCTTAGGTATAGGTAACCCTAGTGATTAAAGGGTTTGCCATCCGGCCACAAGGGGAGAGGTATATCATATCGTTTATTAGTAATATAATTTTTGGTAATAAAACTGATTAACAAACTCTGCATATATCGTATATAATTAATTGTATGATGCCTTTAAGAAATTGTACTACACAATATTTTCAGAAATTATTTAGTTAAAATGTTTATTATGATATATTTCAATAATTAAAAAAGACAATATTGATTTTATAAATTAGTTATTATATAATGTCAATAATAGTACAAATGATTTTGCATTAGAAGCCTATGAGTGAGAGTTGATAAATATTGGTTTGAATTTATGAAAATTGGTGCAAAAAAAAAAAAAAAAAAAAAAAAAAAAAAAATTGTGAGTGGATTTAGAGAATAGACTTGAAATTTTGATTCAAAATATCTTTAAACATAAATGTGAAACCTAAAACCAATGATTTTAAACTTGAAACCAGTGAAGTATGGTACTAAAACATTGGGCTTGAGTTGAGACCTTCAACATATATAACTTGTAACATAAAAAACATAAAACATAATATTTGAAAGCTATAACCACCCCTAGGTGGCCGGGTGTAGGGGTGTTCATAACTGGTTAACCGAACCAGTTTCCCCCATTTTTGAACCGAACTGGATTTTCGGTTTAGGAAAATTCCTGAACCAAAACCGAACCGGTTTTAGGGAATATAGGTTTTTTGGTTAACCGAAACTGCTGTTGGAGCATGAAAATCGGACAGATGATATCACAATTATCATTGTCAACATTAAAGACTTTTCTAATGTATGTATGATATATAATCTCCTTTGCCTACTTATTTTCTACTTGTTTTTGAGATCTTACCATAGGCTAAATCTATTACACTGATTCATTAGTAATGAAAGTGATTTCTAGGATCTACATTTTGTCAACATCCACTTTGTAGCGGACCTTTCAATGACTAAGAATTTAGATTTAGGATTTAGGGAAGAAATGAAGTGTTTAATTTAGATTTTTAGCCCAAGGCAACCCGTATGTGCATCCGCCTCCTTAACATTGATTTGCTTATGAGCGGTCTTTTTACCATTTTTTTGTATTCACATTATTATAAGTTGAAAAATAATAAGTCAAATCCAAAACATACTGCCTCAATACAACAAGTACTACACAAAAAATAGTGCGCCCAATTTTCATACAGCAAGTTAACTTATTGTTGCAGCGAACAAAAAAAACTCCCCTATTGCATCAGAGACTTGGTTGACCTATTAAGATGGGTAAGAATAAGGTTAGTGAAAGTAAAAGGTAATAAGCATAAATAACATATGATTTAAAACATTTGTCAATACCCTTGAACTTGAAGCTTGTGACAAGGTTGGCATCTAAGTTGAAGAAGGCGTTAAAGATGCTGCAAACTGAGCTGCAGAAGAGGGTGTAGTCATTGTGGGCACAAAGGTTCGCTACAAAGTGGATGTTGACAAAATGTAGATCCTAGGAATCACTTTCATTATTAATGAATCAGCGTAATAGATTTAGCCTATGGTAAGATCTCAAAAACAAGTAGAAAATAAGTAGGAAAAGGATATTATATATCATACATACATTAGAAAAGTCTTTAATGTTGACAATGATAATTGTGATATCATCTATCCAATTTTCATGCTACAACAATAGTTTATATGATTCTCCAGCAATTGAGCTATCGAGCTCAACAAACCCCTTATTCTAGTGCAATATCGTCACACTTACCAGACTAGCATTTTGCCCAATTACCGATACCATGCTCCAGTAGTTCCTCCATGTTGCTTACAATACCAGACGATGGTTCAACACCATAACCTTTATGAAAATGAAAGAACCCACACATCAGGCCTGACAAGTTTATGCGCATACTTCGCCCAAGCTAATGAACAACTCCCTTGAGTTCTGCTTTTCCCAGACACCCTTGTTTGACTTGCCTTTGTCGCTTCCTTGTGCTACTAAGCACTGTATGGTTTTGGTGGTTAGGGTTTGGTTTGTCGGCGTTTTAATGGATTTTGTAATGAAATCTCATCAATTAATGAAGATTTCAAAACACTGGAGAAGAAGGGAAAAAAAAAAAAGCGATTTCGTTGATCTATTTCATCAAACAAAAAGTGATGAAAAAAATAAGAAGCAGAAAAAGAGCGATGGAGAAGAAGAAATAGAAAATTAGCACGATGGAGAAGGAAAAAAGAAATTCATTAACTGATGTGGCCAACTTTCAAGGGCATTTCAGTCTTTTCAAGAAAGGTACCCTTTAACTGACAGAAATCACTAACCGAGAATGACAGAAAATTCCTATTTGTCATTTCCAAACTACCTGGGTATCAACTTGTCTTTACAACAAACCTTGGGTGGGTGCATGTCGTTTGCCCTTTTATTTATCTTTAACTTTTGGTTATTCGATCACATTATAAGGCATAAGTTCATATAAGTTAGTTTGCACATATAGAATTATATATTTTTAATAGTTTTCTAAATTAGATAATGATGTATTTATAAAAATCTATTCTATTTAGCATTAACTTTATTAACATCTACTTCACTTATTTGATCATATAGCACACAAAGTGCATGTAGCTTTCGAGAAATAATACAAAAATTTGATATTCTTCTATAGATAGCAAATATGCAATTTGTTATTAGTGTTCCAAAAAAACTGGTGTCAAAAATGTAATTGATAATGAAATAATTTGTAGCTCTCCATTTTAATTATTTACATAATATTTTCTGCCACATTTTAAGTCAAAATTATTCAATAGTAATAGATACATCAAAAATTTAATTGATAATGAAATAATTTGAACCTGTTCATTTGAATTATTTAAGTCAAAATTATTCAATAGTAATAGATACATCAAAAATTTAATTGATAATGAAATAATTTGAACCTGTTTATTTGAATTATTTAAGAGTAATAGATATTGATGGAGGTAGTTGTTAGCTCTAACTCTTCACTCGTTGGTCAAACACTCAACTCAATTAAACATGACCCTCTTATAAACCAGTAAGCTTGAACGTGCCTAGTCGGTGTGGGACTCCAACAATATATACCTTAAAAGTTGAAGATAGACTTAGAATATCAAGGAAAGACTTGCACTATCACGGGATCATCTTCCTTGACTTATATCTTTCTACATGGATTATGATACTTTTAGAATATTTAGACATTATTTTGTGAAATTGTTTTCAATACAATAAGTCTTAGGGGCGTTTGTTAACTTGTTTGATAATTAGTAATTGAATAACTTTGAATGAATAAGAATATATGAAATTGTGATAATATTTTTGTTTGTAATTTTTGAATATGGAACTATATGTAATAAGTATTTATTTTTACAAATTTTAAATATCTAAAAACTAATATTTTTACATTAATGACCTTATCAATCTTAAATATGACATACATTTATAATTTGTATTACAAATCATGAATTTGATAATAACGAAAATATTAACTTTGCAAATAATTAACATTATTAATTGTTTTTAGCTTGATTAAAAAATTAATTCTAAATAAATATATTAAGAGAAATATAAGAAGTTGGAAAATTTATTAAAATATAAGTACAGAATATTTAACGATACATACTCACTACGTTATTATATTACAAATGATATTTTTAATTTAAAATAAATGGATATTTTTCGATCCAATGGATCTGAGAAGGAATTTGAAGATAGTTATTTTCTTTCCCACTCTAGCAACTCCTACACTATTGGATTGTATTGAATTCACTGCTAAAAATGTGTCAAAAATTTAAATTAAAAAATACATCCCTATTAAATAATGTAATAAAGTAGTCAGTATGTTATTGTTATAAAAGGTAATATAATAATGAAAGTAAAATAAAAACGTGAATAAAATAAAAAGAGATTAGGGTTTTAAGGGGCAGTATTTTTTTTAAAGTCATTTAAGGCAAACAAATAAGTTTTTGTATTTAGTTAAAAACCAACTTTTTTTTTTTTATTAAGAAGAATATGATTTATTTTCAGTTTGAAGTGGTGAAACTAAACAACCAATAAATATCTAAATATCAAATATTCAATTTTTTTTATTTTTTTAAGTTTTTTGGACACTAAAATAAAGATGACCTTATAATTTATATTTGCATTTCTTTTTTTATTGTTTTTGCTTTCTAAACCGTAGGAAAAAAATAAAATTTTATTCCACTAAAGTTTGTATTTTGATTTCTGAAAGAAAAAAAAAATCATTAAACACAGAAAATGTTGAATTTTTTTAGACTTGGCAAACGAGCGGGCCGAGTGGGTACGGGCCAAGTAGCTACGGGTATAGGTCCACAGGTAAAAAAATTTCACGAGTAGGGAAATACATAACCCATACTCGCCTGTGCGAGTCCGGGTCAACTTGCGGGTCACTGGTTTTTAAAACTAGCCTCTCCTACTCTGATCTAGCCCTTTTTTTTCTTATCTTGTTTCTAAAAAATTTTGTTTCTTGGGAAAGAGGGTTCAGGGTTCTCAAAAGAACACCCACGTTTTTTGCCATTGGAAGCCGGGAACATGGGTGAAGCTTGGCCACCTTTGATACTACCACTGTTTCTTAATCTCCGACTGAGAGAACTAGAGAGGGAGATTTGGGAAGAATCTCTACCACGATCGGGACTCAAGATTGATTTAGAAGTGATTTTAATGGAGGAAGAAGAGGAAAGGCAAGAAGTAAAACAAACGAAGAGCTCACTTGTTTGTAGTTGTACTAGTATTGTTGTTGCAATGCTGTGAGTCCATTCTTGGATATTTTTAGTTTTTGTTTTTGGCTATTAAAAGAGAGAGACAGAGACAGAGACAGAGAGACAGAGACTTGTTTGGTTGGATTGTATGGAGAGCTGGGTTGTTACTAGAGGTGAGCAATTCCTGGTATCTTGCATTTTTCGGAGAAATCGGAATCAGAACCACACAATGCAGGTTCTTAAATTCAAGGAAGCGAAACCTAAAATGTAGGTTCCGATTCCTTTCCCAGGTACCCTATAAAAAATCAATTACCCCCTATTAGTTTAAAAAATGACAAAAATACCTTAAACTTTTACAAATACACCCCTAAAAAATTTTGATTACTCATTCATTTATGTCCAGTGTAACTCATAAATCCCCAAATCTCTAGGCAACACTTAAATTCAATCAATTCATCACATTTTACATAAAACTCCTTAATCAAAACCAAAACACAAACAATTAATTAAACAATCATACTATAAATCTATAATTTAATATTATAATATATTAAATTTCTAATCATTTAATTAAGTATTGTCTTAATGTTTATAATGGAATATTATAATTAATTAAGTAATCATACTATAAATCTGTAATGTAATATTATAATTAATTAAATTTTTAATCATTTAATTAAGTAATATACTAATATAATAAGTTACTAATGTTTATAATGTAATGTTATAAATTTATAATTAATTAAGTAATCATTTAACTATTTAATGTTACAATTAATTAAGTAATTATTTAATTATAATGTAATATTATAATTAATTAAATTTCTAATCATTGAATTAAGTATTGTATTAATGTTTATAGTAAAATGATATAACAAATTAAGTAATCATTTATTTATAACGTAATGTTATAATTAATTGAGTAATCATACTATAAATTTATAATATAATACTATAATTAATTAAATTTCTAATCATTTAATTAAGTATTGTGTTAATGTAGGAAATTATAATATAATGTCATAATTAATTAAATAATCATTTAACTATATAATGTTATAATTAATTATGTAATCAAACTATAATGTAAGTTATAATGAATTAAGTAATTATACTATAAATCAAATATTATAATTAATTAAATTTCTAATCATTTAATTAAGTATTGTACTAATGTTTATAATGAAATGTTATAATTAATTAAGTAATCATAATATAAATTTATAATGTAATATTATAATTAATTAAATTTCTAATCATTTAATTAAGTATTGTACTAATGTTTATAATGAAATGTTATAATTAATTAAGTAATAATTTGTTTATAACGTAATGTTATAATTAATTAAGTAATTATACTATAAATTTATAATGTAATGTTATAATTAATTAAATTTCTAATCATTTAATTAAGTACTATACTAATGTAATAAATAACTAATGTTTGTAATATAATGTTATAATTAATTAAGTAATCATTTAATTATATAATATTATAATTAATTATGTGATCATACTGTAATATAATGTTATAATAAATTAAGTAATCATACTATAAATCTTCTCGAAGCCGGATACGGGTAAATTTTAAACTGATAATTAATAGTGTTATCTGTATCCGCTCGTTTAAATCGGGTACCCATTTACCCGCAGATATGCGTAACACTTTGCCAGGTATAAATTTTTTAATTGAAAAATACTAATTTTATTTTTTAATATTTTACCCATTGTGAATGTGGATCAGATGACAAACGAGATATTATAAATTTATATAATAAATTTATAATCAACATAACTAGTATATAAATTTTTCTTTGTTATTTCTTCCATAGTTCAAACTTCAAACACTCTTTCTTCATTCCCAAAACCATGGAGCGTTACTTTTCCAATTCAACAAGTTTTTTGTTCCATTTCCTTCTTCTGTTTCATCTTATATGGATGATAACCTCAAACTCATCAGCCTTTCAATCTGATGAACTCGCTTTACTTGATTTCAAGCAACGAATAACTCAAGATCCTCTTCAAATAATGAGATCATGGAATACTTCTATGCATTTCTGCAATTGGACTGGTGTTACATGCAGTCCAACTGATGGAAGGGTCACAATCTTGTACTTGAAATCGCAAAAGTTGGCTGGATCGATACCATCTTCTATAGGAAACCTTACATCTCTTACTACTATCAACTTGCAAAACAATAGCTTCCATGGTGAAGTTCCTCAAGAAATAGGCCGTTTAAAGCAGCTGCAAACTCTCAACTTCACATTCAATTACTTTGGTGGGAGTATTCCAACGAATTTATCTCGTTGTACAAATCTTAGAGTGCTTGAATTTGGTTACAACGAGTTTATTGGGCAGATTCCGGACCAGCTTAGTTCATTGTCGAAACTGGTATATCTGGGACTTGGAGCTAACAATCTTACAGGAAGAATTCCAGCTTGGCTTGGCAATATTTCTTCTCTTCTCATTATGTTCCTTTCGCGAAATAATTTACAAGGGAGCATACCCAAGGAACTAGGTTTGATATCAGGCTTGAGACTTTTTCAACTTTTTTCGAATAATCTGTCTGGTACCATCCCTACTTCAATTTATAATCTCTCTTCTATATACTATTTCGCTGTTGCTCAAAACCAGCTGCATGGGCAGCTACCCTCAGATGTTGGTCTCACTCTCGCTAATCTTGAAATATTTTATGGTGGTCTTAACTATTTTACAGGAAGTATTCCTGAATCATTGTCAAATGCTTCTAATCTTTCCGTCATTGATTTTTATGGAAACAGCCTCACTGGGAATATTCCAGAAAGCTTTGGAAGCTTGAAAGGTCTAATTAGACTTAATTTTAACTATAATAGACTTGGAAAGGGGGAAATTGATGAATTGAATTTTTTATCTGCCCTGGCTAATTGTACTAGTCTTAAAGTGTTGGGTCTTTGTTGTAATGGTTTTGGTGGAGAGTTGCCTAGTTCCATAGGAAACCTTTCAACTCAATTGCAAACTTTAGATGTTGGGATGAATCTTATTCATGGGAATATCCCTCCTGGGATTGGAAACCTAGTTAACCTGGCTGCCTTAACATTTAATGAAAACTACTTGAGTGGTAGTGTTCCAGCTGAAGCTATTGGGAGGCTCCAGAATGTAGAGGTATTGTCTTTAGATTCCAACAAGTTTTCTGGATTAATACCATCCTCTCTTGGTAACTTTACTAAATTAATTCAGCTTCTTTTGAACAGTAATGAATTTGAGGGAAACATACCTGCAAGTCTTGGAAGGTGTCAAAAATTGCAAGAATTGGATTTAGATAATAATAGTCTAAATGGCACCATACCCAAAGAAGTTTTCGGTCTTTCTTCCATTTCAATTTATCTGGGATTGTCTAATAATTTTTTGACTGGTTCACTACCACTTGAAGTGGGTAACTTGAAAAATCTTGGAGAGTTGGATGTATCCAAGAACAAATTATCAGGTGAAATTCCTAGTAGCCTTGGTAGTTTTGTGCAAGTTTGGAACGTCTGTATTGGGAAGTAACATGTTGGAGGGACTATTCCTGAATCTTTGAAAAGTTTAAGAGGTTTAGAGGAATTGGATCTTTCTTGGAACAATTTATCTGGCCAAATTCCTGAATTTTTCGGCCAATTTTTGTTTCTCAAGTATCTCAATCTTTCGTATAATAAGCTTGAAGGTGAAGTACCCAAGGAAGGGATATTTGCAAATGCAAGTGCCAATATTTCACTTATTGGAAATGAAAAGCTTTGTGGCGGTGTTCCAGAACTACTTTTAAATGTATGCTCAACAAAAGCTTCTAAAAAGCATATTAATAAAGAGTAGTAATCTCAATAATTATTGGTGTTACAGTTGCAACTCTGCTAGTGATTTCTTTTGTTTTATATTACAAAAGAAATCTTCACGGACAAGTTCCACTACATCTTCGATCGAAAGCCAATTATGTTGTCTTACTCTGACATTTTAAAATCAACTGATAACTTTTCCAATGAAAATTTGCTCGGTGTGGTGTTGTGGTTCTGTCTACAAAGGTACTCTTTCGGTGATGGAAAAATTGTTGCAATTAAGGTGTTAAAAGTTCAACATCAAAGAGCCTTGAAAAGTTTCATTGATGAATGCAATGCTTTGAAAAGCATACGACATCGTAACATCCTCAAGATATAACTGTTTGCTCAAGTGTTGATTATGAAGGTAACGACTTTAAAAGTCTTGTTTTTGAGTTCATGTCTAATGGAAGTTTGGACAACTGGCTACTCCGCGTTCCAACGAGCAACCTGTTGGAATCAAGAACTTGACCTTATGCAGAGACTAAATGTGGCAATTGATGTTGCCTTTGCTTTTGATTATCTCCATCACCATTGTGAGACTCCAATTGTGCATTGTGACCTCAAGCACAGCAACGTGCTACTTGATGAGATATGACAGCCCATGTTGGCGACTTGGATTGTCGAAGTTCCTTTTGAATCATCAAATATGCCTTGCAAAGTCAAATAACATCAGTTGCTCTAAGAGGTTCTTTGGCTACACCTCCAGGTATTAATTTTTTTTTTTTTCTCAAAAGTATATTTGAATTTTAGTTCTTGATTATCATTTTTATTTAAGAAATTCTTGGGGTCTTAACCTTCGCTTAATTAAATACAACATTTCTCAATCTAATTATTATCATAAATTTACGCATTTTTCTCACTATTTATATTTTATTATACTCTGAAAATACACGTGTAATACAGTATAAGTAGTTTTTATGAATAGTGTCATTTCATTTTCTAATCTTATTCATTGATTCAATTTTTCCCTTTAAAAGTCCAAGAACTCTATAAAATTTCTCATTTTAATTATTATTATAAATTATTCTTCATGAATAATTGCAACATCTAAAATTGATTTCTTTGGCCATAATAACTTATTATTATTTAAATCTTTCAAAATTGAAAACATGTCAAAAACATTTATAACAATCAATAATTAAATTACATAAAGTATATCACAATTACAATTTTAATTAAAAAATTTATTAATTTTCTAACTGTTATATCTCTCCACCACTAGATTAAATATTGACTATGCTTATTTGTATATTCATGTTCTGTTCCATCAATAATTCAAGATTATACAGACCATTAAGAAGTACGAAATTGTACACAAAACAGAGCTTTATATTAATATTGGAAAATGCTATAACTTGCTAATTCAATTACCATTTTTTTTTTCTTTTGCTCTTTATATTTAGATTCTTAGTAATAAATACTTAAACTCATTTCTTTTTTACATTTAACTGCTCTTAATTTGTAAATTTCTTAGATTTAATTCTATTTTTTGTTAAAAAAAAAAAGGTTCAAGTTCTTGAAATGTTGAACACATAAGATAATATATAATTATTTTGTCATTTTATATTATTCAATAATAGTAAACAATGTAAATTTTTTTTGCTTGAAATTTAATTTTAAGTACAATTTCTTTATATATATTGACATGTGTTGACTTCAATCAACATTGTAGAATACATGGATGGTCATGTTTCAGGCTCGGAGACATATACGTTATGGTATATTGTTGTTGGAGATGTTTACAGGTAAAAGAACCTACAGATGAAATGTTTAAAGATGACTTGAACATTTAACTTTGATTCAGGCTTTTCCAAACCATGTTATGGACATTGTTGACCCATCACTACTCTTTGAAGAAGAAATGAAGATGATGGAGTTGAAGAAACCATGATGAGAAACTTGAAACTCAAAGGAATAATAAAAGAAAATGGAAGAATTCCTGGTTCTAGTGCTGAGGATGGACTCGTGTTCACAACATCTCCAAGAGAGCGAATGACAATGAAGATGTAGTCAACATCTGAAAGCTATCAGAGACTCATTTCTAAGTCTAAGGAGGAGATGAATGATTACAATTCTCTTCATCCAAACATGTTGCATTGTTCTTGGATTGTGTTTTGAAGTGGGTGATTTAATTTGCTCTGTTTTATAGATGTGTAATACTTTGTATTTTCATATGCTTGTTTCTATTGCTTTATAATGCTCTGTGTTTTCATGTTCAAACTTCATTGCTTCGTTTTTTTCTTTTTTAATTTCTGTTATCCATAATATTTGACGTGTGTATTTGAAACTCTTTTTTTAAATAAATACAAAATTCTATGATACTTCAAATATACTAATTAAGAAACTAAGAACACAATTATAAAAGTGTAATTAATACATTTGAAATAAAAATAGCCTTCTTGTTGTGAAATCAATTGATAAATAGGAATAAATTGTTTGGAAAAACTACATCGACGCATATTAAAACCCAAAATTTTACAATTAGCGCTATCTTCTCTTGTTCTTCAATAAAAATTAAATAAAGAAAAAACAAAAAAACAAATTAAGCCACTCATCAGTCAATCTCTTTCTAAATATTATATTGTAAATAGTATTTTAAAAATAATTTTATATATTATTAAGACTTAGAAGATAATGAATTGAACTAAATAAAACCACTTTTTTAATACCCGAGCCAGGTAATACCCACCCTGCATACACCAAGTCTGGGCCGATTCTAGGCGGGCCTAAAAACATCCTCTGACAGATTTTCCAGTCATCAATTATCAACGGCCCCGAAGACTAATTGACCAATTTTATTATAATATTTTATATAATTAATTACACAGCTTACCATTAAAAAAATACATAATTCAAATACACATTGAAGTGGAAAAGGGTTACCTAAAACATTATGCAATTGACTCTGAAGTCAATAAAGCATTAACAAGAATAGAAGCTAAACTTTGTCAAAGAAAACAAATGTTCGAGTCTTATCATGATACACTGATTCATAAATGAGTAGAGCAATGCATCAAATCCAACATTGCATTCTCTAAATTTATAACACACAAAATATTGAAACTATTATAAGTATGAGTATCATTAGCCACTATGGTCATAACATAACTCCCCAACTCTTTTCAGAGATCTATATCACATGAGAAACGTATGCCAACTTGACTCATCATAGTCATTGGTTAAGATAAAGTTTGTATGATAAAGAATGGATTGCTCTATTAATTCCAATAATGTACCCACTTGGAACGAAGACCTGGAACGGGTTGATTTGAAACTTAGGATGAGCATTTTGTGTTGGTCTTTTAGTGGGAAGAGCAGCTTCCTGTTGAGTCCCATACTTGCATTTGACTTCTTCACCTTCTATCAGCTTCTCAACAGCATCGGACGGCAGGCCAATCATCTCTAATGTCTTCTCCCACACTTTATAAGAAGTTTCAACGTTGTGTGCTTCCTCGGAAGGATTTGTTGGACGGCAATCTTGAGATATGAATGCGCAAACAGGCCAATCATCCGCTCTCAACAAGTCACAGTACTTGGAATCTGAGGATCAGTGGCTGAAAAAAGTGTGCTCCTCGAACCTACATTTATTGAAAATCATACCAAATTTAGCTTGTACTTCCTTTCACATATTTTTTCTACTTAAAGAAATAATAAACCACTCTTCCACCACAATTTAGCTGGCTAGTTTTCTTGTAAATTTTATAGATAAGGGTTTCCCGACGATCGACAAGATCAGTATTGAAAGGGCACAGAAAAGAGAAGAAGAATATGCTCATCTAGTTAATGCAATTGCTAGAATAGATTTGAAGCTGAGAAAGATGTCAAAAGGCATTGATGTCTGATGAAAAAATAATGCTTGAGAAAAGTTGTTTCATTACTCATGCAACTAAGAAAACAAGAAGTGGCACTAGCATTTGAAAAGACTCACCTTCTTGCGGACTAAAGATGAAATATGGTATAAGATGATAAGCAGCTTGCACAATTTTGGAAAGATCCCTTGCCTGCATTTGATTAAAGACAGAACCAAAAGATTAAAATAGATCATCTAGTTTCAAAATATTTCTACTGGAAATCTGAGTCTAAATAAATCACTAATTAGATCTCATCATTGCTGAAATTAAATGTGGTTACATTAACATTTAATATTCAGATGATATTTTAAATTCGAACTTTGAGCTCTATGCTAGAAGCTGCACAATATTTATAACAGGAATGTAAGATGTCCAGAGAATTACAAGAGTTTAACTTAAAATGTCAATTGAAAAGTTCTGCATGCCACAATCTTAAAGGAAAACTCATATTGCACAGTTTTTTCTTCTGTCAAAAGGATATTATATCATTTTATCGTCCTACAACTTCTCCAAAGCAGTAATTGAACAAGTCTCCTGATTATGAGATGAATTATAGTTCATGTTGAGAACATACGTGTGAGAACATGCTTTCATGTCAACATCCCTTGTCAAGATAAGAAGGCAACAGGCAACTGGAAGGCAACAAGAACTTACAACATTCGTGTGGACAATTCCAGGAGACACACATAATACATTTATGCCAGATTCAGCAGGCGTCGCTTTTGAAGGAGATACTAAAAATATCTGCAAAGAATCTGAAGTCTGTCAGAGGCTATTCCTTCCAAACAATGCAGAAAATAAGTAATACAAGATATGAAATTTGTTGTTTTTCTAGGTGATTGGAAAGCCATTCAGGACCTTCTACATCCTAATTGATTAAATCAGACTACAGCAGATGTCAAGAAAAAAAAATGGAAAAGCAGAGAGCATAAACTAGATAAACAAAATACAAACTATTACAGCAACCTTAGCGTCTAGAACTTAAATGGACAAGCTTCTAATAGTTGCTAAAAACATGTGCACACCATTGGAGAAATTATAATATTATTCAAAATTCACTGCCGTCAAGTTTCAGTTACTGACATTTATTTAAGTTAGGGAGTCCAAAACAAATCTTTGTTCAAATGCTATAAACAAGAATAATCAGACTCATGTGAATTATGCTGTTTTTGGAATGTGAAAAAAAGGCCTAAGCCCTTAGAAAGTTTCTGATTCTAGCTATTTCATGGTCAGCTAGAGGTGAAAAAAATAAAAGGTTATTTGAAGACAGTAGATGGGAATAAATCAGTATTAATAAGACAGAAAAAGCTCTTAGCATCACTATGGGTTTTGTTTCAAAAGACTTTCAAGATTTTTGGTTTCTCTTAATTCAATTTCTATTGGCAAGTGGTTTTCAGCTGAATCTGGCACTATTTGTTTCAAAAGACTTTCAAGATATTTTGTCTTTGTAAAGCTACAGACCCTCCTAATAGATGGACTTGTTTTCTGTGGTGGACACTGGTGGACAGCTTATCTCCTTCAAGTTATTAATAATCTCTTTGTTTCCTATCCAAAAATAAATGTATGATTACTCAATGACTAAGTACAATATAATAATAATGACTTTAACATTATCATGTAATCATTAAATAAGCTGAATTATTTAGTAAATTATGTACAGACATTTAACAGAAAACAAGCTGTGATATTTTCTCCGATCATCCCAATAAAGTTGCCAGATATGCCAAATACATGAAATAAAATGTAAAAGCAACACTAATTTCCAGGTATTCAAATTTGTGAAAGTATTAAATATTGATTTCTAACCGCACCTGTGCTAGCTTGCTGCTTGTGTATCCCAATAAGCTTGTAAATTTTCTCTTCCCAGAAACAACATTCATGTCTTCTGGGTCAACAAAGCCAACATAATGCATCTACAACAAAAAGAGGGGACAGTATTTTCAGACATACACGATAACAGTCAGATGATTAAAGTATGAGCTGGATACCCGCGATATGGTTAATCAACTACTACTGCATTATTTACATTACATAGAGAAATTCATTCTCTCTTTTTCCAGATGCCAATAACAATGAGAACTAATGAGAAGCTCAACCTATGTACAAGTAGAAAAGGGAAACCATGATCAAGGAAAGAAAAAGAGATAAGGGAACATTAGAAAACTAGCTTAAAATCCATTGCAAAAAAGAAAGAAAAGGTGAAAACCAGGAACCAATCAAATGATCATCCACACAGAAGGCAATCTTTTGTAATGTGAAGATCCACACTCTTACTTCAACTCTTATTACAGTATATAATTTATGTTCTTGTTATATCCAATCTTATTAGAAAAGATCCAAAATGTACAAAAGGAGGAGCATCCATCACAGGAAGATACAAGAGAGCACAAACAATAAGAATTGAAAAGTAAAGCTCTAAAATCTAACATATAAACAAATTATAGAACAGCAGTGCAATAAAATCGAAAAACAAAAAATAAAAAGGTTGCTTAGACTACCAGACATCATAGAAAAAATAGGATTCTCTAAAACCTCAAAAGCTTTACAATTCTTTTCAATGTCCCCATTGTGATGTATCCAAAAATAAAAAGAAAAAGAAAAAGAAAGAAAGATAGAAGAAAGAAAAGGCACATTTTCTCTTTTGGTGGTTGGGGTGGTGGAGGGCGGGAGGAGATAAGAACAGAAACAAAAAAAAGGACATCTCACTATACACTCAAACAAATAAACCTAGAGAGTGGCCATAACTACACAATCCCATCCCACTTACTTTCCTACTTCTCTCAGAGGCAATAACTCTGCCAATGATTAAAGATAAGCGGAAGAAGAGCCCTGTCCACATAAGATTTGAGGCTCAGTCCTAGTTGCCAAGCAAAAGGGCACTATTTGAAAAAATGGTTGATACATGCTGACTGTTTTTTGCAAAATAATCCACCGATCAGGAGATAAGCACACCCTTAATATTCTTCTTTGAATCATATCAATGGCATGCCAAAATTTCTTGCCCCCAATTTACAAGTTTTCATACAGCAACTAAATCAAATACTAAGTCTAAGTCTGCCCCTCCAGATATCATCATTTCATGGTCATGTCCCCAGCTCAATATTTTTTTTTAATTTTAAATGTTATTCCCAATATTACTAAAGCTTGATAGATATAATGGACAAATAGGAATATAACATTTTTTTCTTTTCTTTTCTTTTGTTTAATAATAATAAACACAATACGAAGAAAATGTCAATTATGTAACTTACAACAGAATTCACATTAACTATTCGACTTGGAGAGCCTCTAATAAGGGATGGCAAAAGCATAACTGAAAGCAGCGCTGGAGCCAGATGATTCACTTGCATGTGTTCTTCATGCCCATCTTTTGAAACTTTTTGTGGTTCTGGACACAGCAAAGTCAAAGCAAACAGTAAATGATACTAAATGTTGTATATAAACACAATTGGAAGTTAAAAACATCTTGTTATTGCAATAGCTTATATGGTTTCCAAAAAAATAAAAATCCATCCAGTAGGATAACACCTAACACCTAAATTGTTCGTAATACCTAGAAAGCTTGCAAAACAACAACATTTTACAACAGCAGAGATTGTGAGGAAAAGATAGTACCACTATTATGAAGAAATTGGAAAAATAATAATAAATAGACAATAAGTCTGCACTGAAGAGAGGGGAAAATATTCTGATGATATAAGGATAAAAGGGAATATGTAGATAATGGTCATTATCATATAATCAAGTTAAATTCCGGCTACAAGAAACAATACTAGGCAAGGGTGAGAGAGAAATAGTCAAACTTTATTAAGATCAGGATATTATTTTAGGGCCAAAACTTCTTTATAAGTGGGGAAGCTTCTATTTTCATTTTTAAATATTAAATAAAAACAAGTTAAAGTGCTCAATTTCATTTTACATGAAATTTCTCCAATAAAAACCGTAAAAGTAGATCATTCATGGCATCACAGCCTAAATGATTAAAAGAATAAAAGAAGTAACACAGATAACATGTAAAATTACATCAACAGAAAAATATTTATTCGTCCATGTAAATTATAACAAGAAGAAAATTGAAGCTTCAATATGTTTTAGGAATCAAAAGCAAACTTTTGATTTAAGATCAACATGAACTAAATGACTCAACACATAGATGGCCAGGCATTTGGTAGACAATCAAACTGAGTTAGAAGTATTTGATAATATCGTCAAGAAAGGAAGAAAGATAGAAATTTGTTATTCAAAACACACCTAGACAAACTTTTGAAGTGTAAATCAGAGCGAGAAACATATGGAATGCCAAAGAATGCAGTCCAAAAGAATAAAATGCCCATATCAAAGCAGAGTATGTAACCGACCTTCTATGCCCCAAAATTCTCTTTCATTCTGATGAATAAACAAAGGATAGGAAAAAAACTATTGTAGTCAGCAAGTTTAATTTTTAAAAGGAAAGGAAAAACTAATCAATCCAATTTAAAAGTTCATGATATGCATCTCCAAGACTTTTAACACAACAATAATATCAATCAAGCTTATAGTACTCCAAATTTCATCTATGCTAAATTTTTCAACCAATCTTCTAATGCAACTATCACATCATTGTATCATTTATTCACAACATCATAGTTTGACTACTAAAGTAAAGATTTTATAAATGAAACAACACATTACACTTTTAGTTCTTGGCAGTCAAATAACATATTTTAGATAAATAATACATTTTCATAAGACAAGCACAACCTAAGATGTTTTGACATTAAAGATACCGCTTAACCTCCAAATAAAAGCATGCCAAAAGCGAACTTATTACTACACTATGAATAATAATGATAGAAGAGCAAACCAGAAAGTCTATAACACAATATAATAAAAACCCATATAGCATCAAGATGGGAAACATCAAGAAGGAAGTAGAGTTACACCTATTGAATGACTGAGAAACACAAACCTCCAATGGAAAAAATTCCAGCATTATTGATAAGAACATGCAAAGGTCCTAAACGTGCATTCCATGCATCAGCAAATCTCACAACAGAGTCCAAGGAGAGTAGATCAAGCTCCATCACCTTGAGGAGACATATATCATGTCAACTATCTTTAAATGAAATGTTAAAATGAATGACAATGTAATACCTAGAAAAGAATATATTCAACAGCCAGCATCATGGACACAAATCTACAAACCATCTATTTGTCCTTAAGGGTGCATTTAAAAGTCACAAGCAATTTGTGTCTATATGTAACGGTTTGCTCAAACAAACAAACTGTCTTTTGGATCAACTGCACGGCGTCTTGGATAAATACTTGAAATGTGATTTTTCTAATAAGCATTTTTTTATCTGTGTCAAGTGCTTTTAAGCAATATTTTGATAAATATTTCTTCAAAAAGGGGTTCTAGGTGCTTTTATCAAAACAACTTTTACTCTAGACCACTTCCACAAAAGCACTCCCAAAATGCATCTCTAGGATGGTCAAAAAACGAACCAAAAAAGAAAAACATAGGAATGCCTTCGGGTGCTATGTTTCAACTAAAGACACTTGTAGAAAAAAATTAACAAATTTGGCATAGAAATAAAGCCACAATCATTATAATTTAGGAGATACCTCAATATTGAGAGGGAGGCCTCTTCCAGTCCATTCCTCCTGCCATTTCTGGATCAACTCCTGAGCTGCCTTCACATTCCTCACTGCCATAACAACATGAGCCCCTGATTCCGCCAATTGCCTGTTGATTAAGAGTACACAAGCCCATTACTAATTTAAGCAAAAATAGTAAAACTTCATATACCTCTCTAAAATCTTTAAAATCAACATAAAAACCCCTAAAATCTTCAAATACTCCCCCCACTTTTCAGAAAACTTCATTAAACATCCCTAGGTTTGCTCTGATAACAAACCATTAGTTACTCAGTCTAGCAAATACTAACAGAAAACATCATTGATAAAATCATTAATATCATCAGAAACATCCTCCAAAATCCTCAAATACTCCTTCCATTTTCACAAAATTTCATAAATTTCATTAATCTCCCTTAATGTTTTCTCTATTTTAAAACCATCTCATTTCCAACATTAGCCGAAACTTCTTTCAAATCCTAATAATGGCGAAAAAACTTGAACTCCAATCACAAATTATCCAAACTAAACATGTCAAAATGTATTTACTTGAAATTCAAGAATCTAAATAAAATTTACCAGAAAATCCTCATATACCTCCTCAATTCTTACAAAACTTCAAAAAATTTCATAAAACTCCCCTGAATATTACTCAACTACAAACCATCTCACTTACAAAAAGGTAGAAAATAGAAACCTCCTTAAATTTTGTAACGGGTACAAAACATAAAACTTCAAATATTTAAAGTATAATCGTAATTTACCCAAAAAATAAATTATAACAAAACGAGTAAATAAAATAAACAAGGTTATACCGGACGATTTCTCGGCCAGTGTAACCTTTTTTAACCCAAAAATCCTCAAATAGCTCCTCAATTAACACAAAATGTCATAAATTTCACTGACCTCCACTGAATTTTACTCAACTACAAACCGTCTCAATTACAAAATAGGTAGAAAATTACACCCTCCTATAGAATTTAAAAGTTTTACAGTATAAGCCAAATTTACCCAAAAAAAAAAAAAAAAAGAAAAAAAGAAACTCTAAAAAAAAAGAATAAAAACAAAGGTTATACCGGGCGATTTCTCGGCCAATACCGCTGGTGGATCCGGTGACAATGCAAGTGAGATCATTAACAGGAGGCAAAGGCAAGGGGTTCTGCAAATGACTGGCCAAGATTCTTTGAAAGAGCATCTCGTGAATCACGTAGCACCATCCTCTAAGCCATTCCATCCACCCCCAACGCCTCCTTCTTCTTCTTGTTCAAAGAAGAAGAAGAAGAAGACGCCGTTTCCATCTCACCTCTCTGTTGGGACTTCACTTAACCAATCACAATCTGGTCTCAGTAACAAACGCACTCTAAAGGGCAGCCACCGTCTGCTGCCTCACACTCCGTTAAAGCCAGCCGTCGCCACGTCAGCCCTCAGAGTTCCTCAGTTTCTTTCTCTTCTTCGAATCTCGCCCATGTGGGTTGATTCTTGGGTTTTGAAAGTTGATTCGAGTGACGGAAGTTTTTGTTCATGTGGTTTCTTTTTCTTTTTCTATTTTTGTTGGGGGGTTTTGTCTTATCTGATAGTTGTTTTTTGGTTTTCTTTTTTTAAATTTAATTTTACTGTTTCTAATTTTAATCTGATTTTATGGGTTCAAAAGATAATATTGTCGTGTAGTGTTTACTGTTTACATATAATATATATTATATAATACCATGAATACAAAATTTGTATAAAAAACTTTTATATAAAATTATAGGCAATGCTATATGCATACCGATCATTTGTACTAATCCAAGTACTAACATTAAAAATTTGAAATAAAAAATTTAAATTTTTAATGTTAATACTTGGATTAGCACAAAATAATTAGTGCACATAGTATTATTGAAAATGATAATATAAATAAATATATATATATATAATTAAATAACAAGTTAAAAATAATGTCCAATCATTTTATTAGAATATTTTGCATCAAAACAGTGCGTGTAAATCAATAAATATTAATTATCACTAGATGGCCTGACACTAAATGGGTAAAACAATCAACATGAGTTTCTCAATTCGAGTCTCTTATGTATTAATAAGAGTAGTCACTAAGAAGATTTGTCTGGTCATTCACTTAGTAGGATTAGTTGAAATGCACTTAAACTAGTCCAATTAAAAAAAAAATTAATAAATATTATATTGTTATATACTGTATATTGCATTGCAATTTGCAAAGCATTCGGGTGAGTGTAAAATAGCACTTGCACTAAAAAAACAACAATATATCATATACAGTGTCTTGGAGCTTGGAAACATGACCATCACGTACCCAACAATTTGTAAAATTGGTCACTAGGATATCAACATTGAAACTAAGTGCAATAAATCATAGGGGTGGAGCGCCCAAACATTAAAATAAGGTTATTTAGATAAACGAATGTAATTATTTTTTAAAATTTTTATTAAGAGTCTCAGTAGGAGAAATGGTATTCTTGAACTAATTCAAGAATGATTTTAAAAAGAATTAATACCTAGAAAACGAGCTGACATTATTTGATTTTGGAAGTTGTTATCAGATGCCTCGAAAAGGAACTTTACCAATCCGAAGTTACCAGCATCAACATGCGTTGTCATATCATCACCAAGATTGAAGATAAGGTGGAACCTTTCCTTGAAGATTTCATCATGTAATATAAAACAAAAGAACTTGATGGAAGAATAACTTCTACTTTGTAGCTAGGATGCTTTTTTTAGTGGAGTAATATTACATCCATAATTTAATCTCACAATTTTTAACATGGTAGTTCATTATTGATCAGTTAGTAAAATAGGTCCTACCGACTTGTATGAGTCCTGCCTGTTATTTTTGTGAGTTAACTAATGATGAGCCGTCACGTCGAGGGTTGTGAACCTAACATTACTCTTTCTAGAGCATGCTGGTAAAAGTAGTTGTGAGATACCCCTACAAAGCTTATCATTTTTTACAAGTGAAATATTGGCTCTTGGGCTTGCAAATATCCTTCTTTGGGTACTTCACCATCACATTTTATTTTTTTAATGACTGAGGGTGTCTGGGTCAGCTTGCACGAACCTCAACTATTTTCTCGAGACCCTGGAACTATCGACCAGATAAAAGCTCCAATGACTATCCCTATTAGCAGCCGAGGAGATTCGAATTCAGGAGACCATATAAACTTAGATCCTCCTTTGCTTTTTTAGCATCAGGCCACATAGTAGTGGTTAACCATCACATTTATCACATTAAATAGTGAGATACTTGAGAGATAAAAATTTGCTAAAATTTTAAGAATAAGACCAGGCAAATAGTTTTGAGAAAGATCTATTTTGTCTAAACCTCTTAAACTTTCCAAAGATTGAGGAATTGTCCCTTCAAATACAACTCTCCAAACTAGTACAACTATCAAGGCTTCTAGGAATTTCTCAGAATAATTTGTTATTCAACATATCCAACTCAAGAAGATTTTTCAAGTTACCCACTTCAATTGGTAGTGAATCAGTTAAAAGATTATTAGACAAGTCCAAATAAATTGAAAGGGAAGAAAGACCGATAACTTCTTTGGGTATGGAACCATTCAGATTATTACTAGATAAATTTGGTACTTGCAATTTTTGGCAATCTCCAAGACTTGGAGGAATGCCTCCCTCAAATTTATATCTCCCATAAAAAGCTTTGTTAATGTAGTCAGATTACCAATGGAGAAGGAAATTTGAACCTGAAAACTTGTTGGCATTCAAATGCAATCCTTCAGGATTCTAGAGCCTCCCAATAACTTCAGGAATACTACCAGCTAAGAAGTTTTCTTCCAATCTTAAATGGGTTAAGTTAACAAGGTTTCCAATCTTAGTGTAAGAAGTTTCAACTCGATGCAAGAACAGTCCGGCTGAAACCATTTTTATCTGTTGTGCCTAAAAAGTCACACCGATGTCAGCTCTAGCTAAAAGACAAAATGTATTAGCTGTCAAACCCAAACCGCCTCAAAAATATTGTATAACAGTTGTCCCACCTTTATCAAAATAAAGGATTCGGATGAATGAGAACTCTCCATGTGTCAAGGCAACTTGCAAAAGCACTCATTACATTGACCTCAAAAGTATAAATGGGCACATATATCTCTTCATGAAAGGAGAGGTTGGGCAGATGAGAGCTTGGCATAGATTTGAGCTTCATTATTTTTCGCTATAAACAAAGCTTTTCTCCATCTTTGTATGCCTTAGACCATCTCCAACCCATTGCACCAATTTGGTGCAAAATTGCACCAAATTGGTGCAAAATTTGGTGCAAAACACTATTCCATCTCCAACCCACAACACCAAATATTATGAATGATGTAGTCAACATCTGAAAGCTATCAGAGACTCATTTCTAAGTTAAGGAGGAGATGAATGTGATTACAATTCTTCTTCATCAAACATGTTGCATTGGTCTTGATTGCTTGTTTTGAAGTTGGTGTGATTTAATTTGCTCTGTTTTATAGATGTGTAATACTTTGTATTTTCATTATGCTCTGTGTCTATTGCTTTATAATGCTCTGTGTTTTCAGTTCAAACTCATTGCTTTCGTTTTTTCTTTTTAATTGTTATCCATAATATTTGACCTGTGTGTATTTGAAACTCTTTTTTTTAAATAAATACAAAATTTCTATGATACTTCAAATATACTATTAATGAAACTAAGAACACAATTATAAAAGTGTAATTAATACATTTGAAATTAAAAATAGCCTTCTTGTTGTGAAATAATTGATAAATAGGAATAAATTGTTTGGAAAAACTACATCGACGCATATTAAAACCCAAATTTTACAATTTAGCTTGCTATCTTCTCTTGTTCTTCAATAAAATTAAATTAAAGAAAAAACAAAAAAACAAATTAAGCCCCACTCAATCAGTCAATCTCTTTCTAAAATATATATTTGTAAATAGTATTTAAAAATAATTTTTATATATTATAAGACTTAGAGATAATGAATTGAACTAAAATAAAACCACTTTTTTTAATACCCGAGCCAGGTATACCCACCCTGCATACACCAAGTCTGGGCCGATTCTAGGCGGGCCTAAAAAACCGACATCCCTAGACAGATTTTCCAGTCATCAATTATCAACGGCCCCGAAGACTAATGACCAATTTTATTCTATAATATTTTATATATTAATTACACAGCTTACCATTAAAAAAATACATAATTCACAATACACATTGAAGTGGAAAATGGGTTACCTAAAACATTATGCAATTGACTCTGCAAGTCAATAAAGCATTAACAAGATAGAAGCTAAACTTGTCAAAGAAAACAAATGTTCGAGTCTTATCATGATACACTGATTCATAAATGAGAGAGCAGCATCAAATCCAACATTGCATTCTCTAAATTTATAAACACACAAAATATTGAAACTATTATAGTAGAGTTCATTAGCCACTATGGTCATAACATAACTCCCCAACTCTTTTCAGAGATTATATCACATGAGCAACGTATGCCAACTTTGACTCATCATAGTCATGGTTAGATAAAAGTTTGTATGATAAGAATGGATTGCTCTATTAATTCCAATAATGTACCCACTTGGAACGAAGACCTGGAACGGGTTGATTTGAAACTTAGGATGAGCATTTTGTGTTGGTCCTTTTAGTGGGAAGAGCAGCTTCCTGTTGAGTCCCTACTTGCATTGACTTCTTCACCTTCTATCAGCTTCTCAACAGCATCGGACGGCAGGCCAATCATCTCTAATGTTCTCCACACTTTATAAGAAGTTTCAAGTTGTGTGCTTCCTCGAAGGATTTGTTGGACGGCAATCTTGAGATATGAATGCGCAAACAGGCCAATCATCCGCTCTCAACAAGTCACAGTACTCTGGAATCTGAGGATCAGTGGCTGAAAAAAGTGTGCTCCTCGAACCTACATTTATTGAAAATCATACAAATTAGCTTTGACTTCCTTTCACATATTTTTTCTACTTAAAGAAATATAATAACACTCTTCCACCACAATTTAGCTGGCTAGTTTTCTTGTAAATTTTATAGATAAGGGTTTCCCGACGATCGACAAGATCAAGTATTGAAAGGGCACAAGAAAAGAAGAAGAATATGCTCATCTAGTTATGCAATTGCTAGAATAGATTTGAAGCTGAGAAAGATGTCAAAAGGCATTGATGTCTGATGAAAAAATAATGCTTGAGAAAAGTGTTCATTACTCATGCAACTAAGAAAACAAGAAAGTGGCACTAGCATTTGAAAAGAACACCTTCTTGCGGACTAAAGATGAAATATGGTATAAGATGATAAGCAGCTTGCACAATTTTGGAAGATCCCTTGCCTGCATTTGATTAAAGACAGAACCAAAAGATTAAATAGATCAATCTAGTTTCAAATATTCTACTGGAAATCTGAGGCTAAATAAATCACTTAATTAGATTCATCATTGCTGAATATTAAATGTGGTTACATTAACATTTAATATTCAGATGATATTTAAATTCGAACTTTGAGCTCTATGCTAGAAGCTGCACAATATTTATAACAGGTATGTAAGATGTCCAGAGAATTACAAGAGTTTAACTTTAAAATGTCA